CTTAATTTTATATACTTTACGTTTTCAAAAGGCTGCCATTTTATTACACTCCGTTTGTAGTTTTTTTGATCACACGCTTGACGGTGATTATTCACAAAGAGCGATCGTCGTTATGCAAACTGCATTTCGGGGGCAGATTTTCCGTGTTACTAAAAGACACTTTCCCTGTCGCTCTTCATAATAAAAATGATATCAAAAATCTGATTTCTCTATTGCGTTTCTTTAATTTTGTAAATACATTCATATTGTAACAGAAGGTTAACATAAAGCTCCATCGTACAACAGAAGAGTCACGTGATGCGTCATTCCTTCCAGGACGCACTGCAGGGAAAAATAAACACTTAATCATGAATACTAATTATGTATACACTTAGTCATTTTGATAACACGCTAATATAAACACCTAGAGTCTGTTTAGCCTTCATTATAAGCCTTATATAAGGCTTTTACTTTTTTGCGGCTCCAAACAGATTTGTTTTTCGTTTTTTGGGTTCAATACAGCTCTTTCAACATGTTGGGTTGCCGACCTCTGAACTATAGCATCCAATAGAGCTAAAACAATCAACAGAACAACTTAAATGTATTGGCCAGCATCTTTTTAAGGCCTCTAGGTTTTTTTTGGAGAGAAGAATTTAAAAATAATGTTGGGACTGTGGGATGTTTTGGGGTTTTGATTTATTGGTTTCTAGTGTCATTATTATTTTGTGTTCCTTAGTCACTTTCATTAAATCAGCTTTGTTTCCATTTTTCCTTAGTTTAGTTCTTAATGATTCTACTTTAATGTTCAATTCCTATCTATCTGTGTCTAGCTATTCTTTGTTGCTTATAGATTAATTTTCTTGGTTCCCCTGTTGTGTACTCTCCCTTGCATGCTGTGCCATTTTCTCTCTCTATCTCCTCACACCCACAACACATTAGCTAATGGGTTATGCTGGTATATTGTTCCAGCATTCACTCTCTCAGTATTTAAACTTGGGGTTCACTAACTGCAGTTTTCTGGCTGATTGCCAATTACCGATCTTTAATAAGCATGACCTGATGATTTTGATTTCATCTGACACCAATCTTTTTTGCCTGAAACATTGGTAAATGTAGAAAGAAAGTTGCTGAGTTGGCAACACTGGGGTGACTACTGTTAACTGAAAATATGCTGATATGAGCCAGTGGGCCAGTGTGTCAGTCAAACCTCTTTTACAAGATAGCAGAAGAGGACAGTTGCTGAATTCTAGACTTTTGCTGGGGTAGATAAGATTGGGGCATGAGCTCGGCTTCACATGCAAGTATCGGATGATTACCAAAATCAAGAAAATCAGCATGGCTAAATTGGCTGGCCAATAAATTGGTGCACCCCTAATTTAAACACCTCTGCTGCCCTCTCTCCTTGCTGGTTATTAATCCCATGCTTTCCCTGTTAAGTCACATTTTTTCTCTGTGTGACCCTGCTGTCTTTTTACCCTGGATTCCTGTTTTGTTCAGCTCTGGTTCCCTATGTTCCCCGAGTTTTTTGTAAGTTTGTTTTTCATATTTTTGTCATTAATTACTAAAATCCACTCAATGTCTCAGCCTATCTGAGTAAATGGGGTCAATGTCCATGCCAAGCTTTTATCCTGCCAATGACTGAAGCATGGTTTGTCTGGTTGTGGACATGTAGCATGCAAAAAGTTTAATAGCTCTTTCTGTGTCAAACTCCAGTCCTCAAGGGCCGCTGTCCTGCAGTTTTTTGATGTGCCACAGATACAAAACACTGGAATGAAATGGCTTAATTACCTCCTCCTTGTCTAGATCAGTTCTCCAGTGCCTTGCTAATGACCTAATTATTCTACTCAGGTGATGCAGCAGAGGCTCATCTAAAAGTTGCAGGACACCGACCCTTGAGGACTGGAGTTTGACGCCCCTGCTATAGGGGATGAGAAGAGAGGAAGGGAGAGGAGGGCTGTTCTATCTCTGCCAGAGCAGCTTATGCAAGACTGTGTGTGGAAACATGAGGGTGGCTCATTTCAAAGCAGAAGACTGAACTGGCAGGAAGAGGATTTCCATTCAACAGTATTTAGGAGAACTATTTTTCCATGAACTCTGCACATGTGTGAAATTACCTTAAACACACAGTGACAGAAAGGGAAAATTTGGGGTGTTCCATTTCCAGACTTTAGTCTAACACCAAATTAATGTTACATGTTTATTCACCACAATCAGTATGTTAAAGGAACAAACATGATAGATGGCTTAATATGTGCTTTCTTTCTCTTACTTTTTTTTACGTTTGAAAAGAAAATCACAATCAGATCAGATCAGATCAGATCAGCTCAGCTCAGACATACTCAGTAGTGTCACCAGAGGAGACTGGTTTGTAATTACAATCTGCAATATATGTCAGTCAGTCAGCATACAGTCATGTATGCTCCTCATGTTGTCACTCACTGCCATGATTATGCATAATGATTTATGCATAATCATGCATAAATCATTATGCATGCCTGTCTGGCATGTTTTCCTGATGCCAGACAGGAAAACATACCAAATGATTTACAAAGGAATATAAAGACAGCACACGTGGTGCCAATGCAGAGCAGCACAGTTAAATCTGTCACCATGCTCATGAAGTATCAATAGAACAATTCATCTGGGAATTTGAGGTAGGTGGAGTACGAACTGGTATCGCAGTAAAGTGAAACAAGCTATCCAATTAAAGATTTGTGGTTTTCTGGATCAAATTCAGTGTTTTCACAAATAATATCTCTATTAACTTCCTCTAAGAATCTCAATTTTCTTGTATGATTCGATGGATCCTTTTATTTCTGCAAAAACTATTTCCATCACAAAAGTTCAATTTCTAGAGATTATTCTGGACCAGCAGAACTGGTCCATTGTGGAAACAACCTTTATGTTTAAGGTTGACAAGAAGTTATATTCATCAATCAAGCACAACATTATGACCACCTGCATAATTGTGTGTTGTTCCTATTTTGCTTTCAAAACACAAATGATCATTCAAGGCCTGGACTCTACCCGAATCTATTGGCACCACCACAGACGCTAACATCTACTATCTTCCTAATTTCTGCTCTTGGGGGCTCATCCAATCCGTAAAAGAAATGAATAGCGCTCCTCGATAGGCTGCATCGCAAACTCCAGCTGACAGCTTGCCAAGTAGGATTGAGAGTAGCTATTTTAGTTTTGCAAGCTGCATGTTCTGAAATCCCTTACAAGAAAAAAAGAAGAAAAGATTTGTGAATAGATTAAACTGCTATGAATAATTTCCACAGAAAAAATGTGAATAAGTGACTCCATAACTAATTTACAAATAGGTGCAGTTCAAGAGAAGATATAATTGTGGTCTAAAAATAAGGTAACTACTTCAAAGTCACTCACTAATTTGAACTAAGCAGTAAACTAGGCTGCACAGCTTATCAAGCTGATGACAAATACAAGTGAATAAAAACAATTAGAAATGTAATTGAAAGATTTAAAGATGCCTGCTAAAAGAAGCATATAAAAAGCAAATGATGATGTACCCAGAACTGAACCCTGAGGAACCCACAGGTTAGGACAGTTAGGCCTGTTTGATTTACAACAATGATTTTTTTTTTTAATCATTAATAGTAGCTACTTTTCTGTATATCATAGCATCCATGCATCCTTTATATGACTATAAGTTTACAAAACAGCTGTTTGGTTGTGTCCAAACAGCTTTTTCTCCATCCAATGGAGAAAAAAAATATATAAATAAATTTTGCCACTTCACTGTCAACATGTAGAGATGTCTCACAAGTATGTGAACCTGTGCTTGGGTGTTCTGGCAGTTTGGAAAGTCTCATTTACATTTGTTCAACTTAATTTGCGGCAACAAAAACTAACTATCATGGTTTTAGTGTTGCCGGAGTAACCATGAAAGTTAGTGTTCAACCGACACAAAACAAAATGGCAGAGTTTACTGGTCAACCAGTTAACTGGAAAGACATCCGGTAAGTCATTTGAACAAAGCACATCCTGGAGATGAAAAGCAAAGCAAAAGCTATTCACACAATAGATTTTTGTAAACTACTGAGAACATTTTTGACATCCACACAACACAGCACAGCACTGGAGAAGATATGATGGGCCAATCTATGGTGCTGTAACATGACCACAGAATGATGCAAAAAAACAGTAAACACTACCAAGCGACAGCATGATTGTTATTTGTGAGAGAGGAGCATGCAGGATAGAGAGAAATACAGCTGCGCTGTCATCATTTCAAAAATGATACAGCATAATACTAGCATTTTGAAATTTATCCACCATGGGACCACGTTTCAACAGTGATTGTTTCTGGTTTTCCAAAACATCAAACTGATGTGTAATTCACAAGAAATTTTTTGCACTTACACCTAAAATTGTTCCTGTGAGAATGGGAACTTAGGCTGTGTCCACACTGCATCCCGAAGAGACCCAATTCTAATTTTTTTGACGCAATGCCACCTGTATCTGATCTTTTTACAGCACAGGTCAGACTCTTTTCGAATGTGACATAGGCCACTTGGGTATCCGATATGTATCCGATTCAAAAGTGACCCAATGTCCAGGTTGCATTCATCTGAGCTGAACGTCAATGATACTGGACAAATATTCCTATCCTGCATCCTGATACACTCAAGCAGGAATGAAAACCACAATCAATGAGTATCAAGTTGCTAAGATGCTCCTCCAGTCAGACAACAAATTCAAAATCGTAAGCTTTGCTCCACCGTTAGCATCCATGTTTACTTCTGCAAACACTGAGCACTTCTTCTTTTTGTGGCAGTTGGCAGAACACTGAGAACGCTGATGTTATTGCGCCCTCTACGGCGCATGTAGGACACGTTCAGGTGGTTTGCCTGTTCACTCTGGAGAACACATACAGGTCGCGTATATTTGGAAGTGTGAATGGCCCTGGCAAAAATAAAATAAAATCTGAAACAGGGCTCTTCAGGTGTCAGTGTGAACGCAACCTTAGTGTCAAACTTGAAGGATGTGAAACTTACCAGCCATGGCTGAGGAATCTCTGGCAGTGGCATCTGAGGTGGGGCTGGCAAACCACTGTGGATCTCAGACTTAAATGAAGGTTCTGCAAAAATCAAAGACCTCACATTAGCACTAGTAATGACAAGAATAACAGGGAGAGTTGTCTAATTATCAACTCCAACTGGGTAAGGAGAATCTTCCCACATGAAGTTTGAGATAAGATGAAGACTCTTCATTTCACCTTTGTCTGCAAGCACACGGTGCAGAATGTGGGAGAGGTGGACCTTCTTCTCTCGGACTCCAGAACTCAGATACTCTCTATCCAGCAGGTCCAGGAACAGGCGAAGCTCGGTCACTAGCTCCTCCATCGCTACAGAACAAACACAACATGAGGTTTATTTTAAAATTACTCATTTTGAATCATACATAACATTAAAGACAAAACAGTTGAAAAAAATAGTCTGAAATCTTCCTGTGACTTTATACGTGCAGGCTGATGATTATACAGCACTTTTCGTGCAGTGTTCAGAAGAAAAAACTCCCACAGCATAATGCAGCCACCACCATGTATCCCATTCATGGCTTCTTGCAAATTTCAACCAGGACTTCATTCTGTGTAAAGCCAGAGGTAATTACAAATCTATTTAAACTTCTTTAAGCAAAAGACAGCTACAGGAGAAAGGTGGAGCAGAAGCTGAGAGAGAACAACATGAGGGAGGTCTGGGAAGGTGTGAGGACCATCACTGGCCTCAACACAAAGACCAGAGTCGTTGGGGGAACAATGGAGCCGCCTGGTTCAAGGAGGACGCCACCAGTGCAAGGAGGACGCCATCGAGGGGGAAAAAAATTAGCCCTCGCTGGACCTGATAAATAGGCCGTTGAACTTGAAACATGCTGGGGAAGGTCAACATACATTCCAGCAAGGCTGATCAAATAATGTGCAGATCAGCTAGCCTAGGTGCTCACGGACATTTGCATTACATCTTTGCACCAGATCATTGTCCCCTCATGTTTTAAGTCAGATATTATTATTCCTTTGCCCAAGAAACCAACCATCACGTCTTAATGGCTTCCGACCAGTTGCGTTAACACCTATCATCATGAAGTGCTTCGAAAGAGTGGTTAAGGGTCACATAATCTCAATACTCCATCATTTGACCCATTCCAGTTTGCATACAAACCTAATCACTCGACTGAAGATGCCATTTCCACTGCTCTTCATCTGAGCCTAGTACATTTGGAGAAAACAAACACCCACGTATGGATGCTGTTTTTGGACATCAGCTCAGCATTTAATATGATCATTTCCCAGGATCTGTTGTGCAAACTGGTCTCCCTGGGCTTCAACACTCCACTGGCTGCTGGACTTCCTCACTGACAGAACTCTGTCTGTCAGTTCCCCCCAGGATGTGTCTTGAGCCCCCTGCTTGTTCACTCTGATGATCCACGACTGTTGTTCCAGTCGCAGGTCATCATGATGTGGTTTAACACAAACCACATCATGAAATATGCAGATGAAACAACAATTGTGGGATTAATTCAGGACAACAATGAGGTGAACTACAGAAAAGAGGTACAACATCCAGTGGACTGGTGCAGAATAAACAACCTGCTCCTGAAAGTCGATAAGACAAAAGAGATTGTCGACTTCAGAAGGTCTCGACATAACCACACGCCTCTCCTCATTAACGACAGAGTAGTGGAGATCGTTAGCAGCACTAAGTTCCTGGGGGTTCACATTATAAACAACCTCAGCTGGACACCTCACATCACTTCACTGGTGAAAAAAGCACAGCAGCCCCTGCACTTTCTGAGATGATTGGCAGGGGCTTCTCTCCCACCTCCCATCCTCTCCACCTTCTACATAGGAACCATTGCTGACAAGCAGTATCTCCATCTGGTCTGGGAGCTGCAAGGCCTCAGACTGAGAGTCTCTGTGAAGTGTGGTGAAGACAGTGAAGAGGATTATTGGGACTCCACTCCCCCCAATCCAAACCATTGCGCACAGAGGCTGCTTTGCCAAAGCAAACCAGATCCTCTCTGACTCCGCCCGTCCCCTCCATGGTCTGATCATCCGGTTGGCATCTGGCAGGAGATTCAAACAGCATCTGCTGCAGAACAGCCAGACTGAGAAATAGCTGTCTGCCACCGGCCATCAGACTGCTCAACAATCCCATCACTAAAACTGTCTAAGACTGCTTGAAAATATTAAGTAATATATATTTAACAACACATCACTATTTGTTCATTATATAATTATAGGCACACTTGTGTTTCTGTGTGTGCTCTGGTTGCCAAGCGATGATATTTCATTGCCAATTCTACTTATGTTTCTTTGAGCAATGACAATAAAGTGAGTCTAAGTTTTTCTTTAACCCTACGCCATCGCTACGACCCAATTACTAAATACTTAATCCAACTATGAAGGTGCAATGATGGAAAAGTCAATCTAACACACACATCAATGTAACAGCTACTGTTTATTGGGCTGTAAGATTACATGAAGTGTAACCATTTGTTCAGCAGTACCAAAGCTAGCAGCTGAGAAGTGTGCATGACGCAAACCCCTATTAATCCTCAAAGCTATGATATGAATCTTTGGATATGGCACAACCTTCTTGTAAACACCAGATCATATCACATACGATTACATCATTAAGTCCCTGGGCTTCTATCTTTTTCTTGCTCCAGCAACACTCTCATTCATGATAGATAGGCTTCATTACCAAAGCTTAGCTAAAATGTCAGGAACACAAACTTTTCCAGCGCTTACTTTATCTAGCAAGCTGTCATGAAGGCTCTGGAAAGTGAAATGATTGAGAGGAAAGCAGCTCTCAGCTGTGGTGCATGACATGTGGTCAGGAGTGATGACAAAAGGCAACACAAATGTAAAGCAGAGGAACTCCCCTCCTGCCAAGGGCCATGTGAGGCATGCTATGATCATTATGTAATCATATGGAAACCGAGTCAGCATTTGGACTGCCAGGAGCTGGGACCATTGCTAGCTCACAAGCAATGGAAAACTTTGATGCCAATATTTCAAACCATATATGCAGTGATGCAGAAATGCATGAAAATATATTTTCTAGATTTGCAAAGCAGCTAAAAGTTCCTACACAGAGCTTGCAGAGAAGATGCATACATATCATTCACAAATTCCTTGTGTAATTTTATGATCCACTGGAAGAGGAGGGAACAGAGATTATTGTACTGTAAAAAAAAGGAGAAAGATATGCCAGCCAGGAGAAAGTAAAGGTGGAGCAAAAAAATCTAATTAGTTCACCAAACTCATTGCCTCAAAAAGATTAGCAAAGTAAGCTTGAGATTAGAGAGTAAGAAAACCTCAATCCTTTAAAGTAGCAGTACTAAATCATGTAATAAAACTAACAAAAATAAAATATGTTCATGTAACTTATTTTGCAGAGTTGTTAACTTATTTTTTAATTTGTGTGGACTGTTTAATAAAAATTTAATCCCACCTGGAATTACTAAATACTTGCAATTTACTACTTTTTCAAGTTCATATAGAGTAGACCAATTTTCTTGAATGAGTCCTTTTTCCTTCTCCATTCCACTTATTTTTCCTTTTTTTTAAATCAAAAAAATTATTGGCTTCTGGGTAATGGGTAATGAGAGAGGGAGAAGACATGCAGCAAAGGTCATCCAGTCAGGACCCGAACCTGTGACAGCCACGTCAAGGACTGAGGTCTCCATGCATTGGATGTTCTTTACGCTAAGGCACTGCAGTGCAGAATTACTAATTATATCAAATACTTGAAATACATAATGTGAGCAAAAATTATTGTATCTGATAAAATACACAATAAGGTACCACTCTAACCTTATGTTGAGTAAATCCTTACTCGTCCAATCACCTTACACACTTTTGATGTAACATAAACCAGTTAACTGAATAGTTTCTTTTAATAAGAACTTAAAGAAATAAGATCTTAGCTGCATGATGCCCCTGACATAATCAAAAAACCTAAATATAGAGGAAGGTCATCAATTCCCAGCACTAAAGGTTTCCCAAAATAAAGTAAAGCCAATAAGGCACTTTTCTTTTCAGTCCCTTATGTTTTCCTCACTTTTACTTTATGGTTTAAAAAAACAAAAAAACAACTTACTTTTAACTGCTGTTTTACTACAACCAAAATTCAACTTTTGTCACCAACAGAACTCCATACATTCACCAAAATTTGCAGTTTTAAACAGAATATCACACTTGGGCCTATACTCTCTCTCACACATACACGCACGCACGCACGAACACACACACACACACACACACACACACCCACACCCACACCACACCCACACCCACACACACACACACAGTCCAGTACGGGTTAGTTTTTGTTGCAGGCCTGATGAAGCTTGGGTGCGATGTCGCTATGACAATCCTCTTCTCTCCGTTTAAACCCAAAAATAACTCGGACCTGCTCGCTCAGCTGACGTCCTCTCCATCAAGGATGCTTCGCGAGTCCAATTTCTTTCAGACCTCTGCCACGTGAGTTGCAGGACTACTCCTCCGTCTTATCCCTTTTTTCCCTCTGTTGAGTTTACTTGTCCCTTCTTAATCTAAACTACTTGCCTGGATAGGAAATTCAATAAGTCTAACTAATGAGATCATTGCTCAAACAAAAATACACTTATGTATGTACACAAGACACTTCCGAAAAAGCTTTAGCTTTCGGCTTTTTCCATTATTTCTCACATTACTCACAAGAGTAACCTCTTACCTAATGCATACAAACAGCTAACAGGAAGTCTGCTAGTGAACATAATGAGAACGTTCATCTCAGTGGTCAAATAATCTATTGTAAAACACAAAAGACAACCTTTAAGAGCTTGAAATATGTATATTTCTTTGTTACGTACTTTGTTACTTTTCCTCTGAAAGTTATATACTTGAAGACTGTATATTCTGAGCACCTGAAACGAAAGTCAAATTCTTTTGACACAAGATACTGTTTATTAAAGTTGATTCTGATGCACCTGAGTCATGTTCACAATGTGCTGTTTTCACCATGCACAGAAATGTCAAGCAGTCTTTACTGCTGTTTACTGCCTCACAAAGCTTCTTTCAACCAGAGCAATGCTCCAAATGGGTGGTTGGAATGCTACATTGATGCATGTGCGTGTGTCTGTGTATCATTAACAACACTAAGTCAGCTCTTCACAGACGACTATGAAAACAAAGTGCAACAGGGCCACCCTCAAACAAGGCCTGGGGGCAAAAACAAGAAAATTCTGCTAGCAAAAAAATGTTAAAAGAAAATATAATATTAATCAACTTCTTCCTTTTGTTCATGAGGTCTCCATGCATTGGAGACCTCATGTATGGAGAGGTCAGTAATTCATTGAAGC